ATTTATTTATTTTCTTTCCTACTGTACTATGATATTTTCCTTTTACATAATATTTTTTACATTTAACTGTCAAAAATATTTTATGTAAATTTCACAACGCTCTCTTTAAGAACTATGTTTAATGCAGTTTTGAGCTAGCTCTGATAGAGGAATGGAACCAGGTCGTCTTTAGCGACGAATCCAGATTCCATCTCAGCAGTGATGACAATCGTGTTCGTGTGTGGAGACTCCGTGATGAACGCCTCAATCCTGCCTTTGCTGTACAGCGACACACCGCTCCCACAGCTGGTGTGATGATATGGGGTGCCATTGCCTACAATACACGGTCACCCCTAGTATTGTTTCGTGGCACCATGACAGCCCAGCGGTATGTCAACGAAATCCTACAACCACATGTGTTGCCACGCATGCAATGGCTCCCAGGAGCCATTTTTCAACAAGACAATGCTCGGCCTCATACGGCAAGGGTGTCACAAGACTGTCTCCGTACTGTTTCTACCCTTCCTTGGCCTGCCCGATCCCCAGATTTGTCTCCAATCGAACATATCTGGGATCATTGGGACGGCGAGTTGGTCATCACACGAGTTTGAACGAACTAGAGGAAAGGTTGCAGCAAATAGGGAACGAAATGTCTCAAGACATCATGCAGAACTTGTATGCCTCAATGCCCGATCGCATTGCATCGTGCATTCGCGCTAGAGGGGATCCAACACCTCCGTTACTTTGTCTTTTTCTCTGAAATAAATTATCCTTTTTCTTTGATTTTCTAATCATTTACTTATATCAAAGCAGTCATTACGTATGTGAAATTTCGTTTCATTTTGACAACTCTTTTCTGGTGCGCAAATTTTTTTGGCCATGAGTGTATTTTAGGTAGCATCAGAGCAAGTTTGCGCAGACTTCCGAATTCATTTGTTGTTTGTTTCGTTGAAAGTTAAATTGAAAGAACGAAAAACATATTATTGAAAACACTACAAGTATATAAATATTGGAGGGAGCTTTTTTTCATGCTTATGTATAAAAATCAATCGGAAGTACTACCCTTGCGACAAATTTTGACTCCCAGCGCCATCTGCACTTAGCTTTACTCGGTCAACCATTCATTAAAAAAAAAAAAATAGTGGACTTTTACTGGAGTCTGTAGTTAGTAACTATAACTGCAATGTGTAATGCGCCTCTTTCGTTTCTGTTTATTTACCTTTTTAAGTTTCGGTTCAAAAGTTGACTACGGTGCCGTATTCCTCTGTCTCGAATTGTTGTTGCAACCATGGTTACTTATGTTTATTTTCATAATATTACTTTTTTTTAAATGTATAAATACAATTTCCAATGATTCGTTATTTTTGCGTCGCGAAAATCTTCGTTTCTTTTCGATTTTTGTCGGTTTCTCGATTGATTGCTTTCCGAACAGTTGCATTGAACAGGTATTTAATCTGTTTATACTTATATTTAAAAGTTTTATTTAAAATAATTGGTTGCTTTTTTATTATTTATTTAAAGATTTTTCCATGAATCTTGACAAAATGTAATTATTCATATCATTCTTGTATCAACCTGAATATTACAGATGTATCTTATTCAATAAGTTATGATTATAATTTTTTTTTTCGTTGCTATGAAACCCTTTAGAATTAGAACAATTAAGAAATAAATAAGTAGTGGTAAGGTAATGCTAAAATTTCCAGTTTTCTTAATATTTACTGTCAAAAATTTATAGTTCTCTGTCACTATTTAATCACTCTCGCATTTGCTAAGTAAGTTTATCATACTTCAGAATGTTCAAATAGTTCAGACTAATTCAATGTCTCTTAGGAAAATCTGGAAGCATGTTATACATTATATTTTTTTTTGCTTGTAAAGTGAATATCATTGTGTATGCTTTACAATTAATTTCCTTGCATTTACAAATAAAACTGAATACTAAATTACCTTGCAAAGTAAAACTAAAAGATCAAAGGAACTTCTAATTTGGTATACAAGTTCTATGTTTTGTTATTTTTTTTATTGTAACACAAAGTGAAGAAAAATACATTTTTTTATAAAAAAAAATCTTCTGACAGAAATAACACAATTATATCACAACATAGAAGTTATGTGACTAAAATTTATTTATACATTGAATGAAATTTTCTCTTTTTATTTTTTGTAATGTAGTGAGTGATATAGTTAGGTATCATGATTTTTGTTTTCTTGACAAGTATCTTGTAGTAAACTAATGTTATGTCTTTAATCAAAAAGAGCAGGGATCCCCAACCCATTGGCAGCTGGCATTAAGCTTATGTTGTCACAAAACAAATAAATATTTTTTAGTATAATGATATATATTTTAGTGTACATCAAAATGCTACGTAAAAGTTTGAAATCCAATAATCAATGCCGAACTTAAATGAACAATTTTAATTGTGATTTTAAATAATGCTGATTTTTACTGCTTTTAATTTTTATGTGTAAATTTATTGTTTTTACTGAACTTTTATGAACATTATAAACTGTGAGCCTACAGCTTTTGGACTACCTGTATGAACTATTTTTGGTTTCATGAACTCAAGCTGTTGAATAGATTTAATCTTTTAATTTCTCTTTGAATTTAGGCCTTTAACGTTTAGATTGTTGTCGTATTTAACTATCGGATTTTAACTTATTTATTTTATATCAATTGATTGAGCTACAAGTGTATCTTAAATCTTTGGACTTTATAAGGTCAGGTGGGATAAATTGGATACATGGGATAAAGTGGGTATATGTTAAAAAACATCTATTTTCTCCGTTTCTATTGAGATAATATATTTAATATTTTTAAACACATTTTGATTGCATGTTTTAGAAACTGATAAGAAAAATTTTAACATTTACAAACTATCTGCTTATGATCAACTAATAAAGTATGTTTAAGTTATTGATGAACTTTTTTTCGAATATCATTAAAAACTGTCAGAAACTATTAATTTTCATTTAAACTGATTGAGGGACATTTAAAGAACAGATCTACATGGAAATTTAGGAGTAAATTTCAAAATTCTATTTATTATGAATTGTTTTCTGAGGTGGGGTAAAGTGGGTATATGGTTAGGTTTAGTGATGATAGGGATTTTTTTTTTCTTCTCTGTTAGCTCTTGAAGGTATCTAATGCTCTATATTTTATGAGAAATTAGCTAAAAAGTAACTTGCTTGTTTGATTATAACCTTACATAGTAATTTTAACAGTGAATATAAAATTTCTTTCAAATTTTATTTTTTAAGGAGAAGATTGATGGGGGGAGAAATAACTATATTACAAACATAGTATACATTTAAAAAAATTACAAAAGTAGCATAATAATACAATTTAATGAGCTTACTTAAAGATCTGGATGAGTTTTTATGCAAATTTCTACCAGTTGACAGCTTTTTCTTGGAAAACAAAACAATTTCTTTGAAGTAAATAAATTCAATATAAATACGTGCCTGCTATAAAAGTAAGAACACTTTAAATTACCATTACAGATGTTAATTTTAACACTCTCATTTATATTTCAAATAAACCGAACATTACTACACTTTTCTTGTTTTTTCACGGAATTGTATAGAGTTTAGCAAAATATACTGCATCCGAAGAGGAACCTAATTTTGATAGCCATGAACATTAACTCTTTAATTTAATAAAATGAAGAAAAAAAATTTTAGGATTTTTTTTTTAAAAATAAAATCATATTGCAATTTACTTAAGAGCATTTTAATTTCTAAAACAATATTCATGTATGTTTTTTTGTGAAAAATATTCTAATTTTAGAACTATACCAACTTTACCTCTCTCTGGAGTAAAGTGGGTATAGTTCACATGGTATAAGTTGACGAAGTGGGTATAGTGGTCACCATGTCTTACGTAAATTTTTTGGTTTTTTGTAAATGCCACAGGGAAAGGGGGGCACCTGCACCTCCTCTCCTGAAGGGTCTCTCATGGCGATGAGACCTTAACTTGTTCTCGAATACCATATTTTAGGAGCAGGGGCAGTGAAATTATTCCCAATAATTAATACTGTTCAATCAACAATGTATTAAAGTTTCAGTAGCAATTACAGTGTGGGTATTCATTTTTATATCTTATCTCTGTTATCTTTCTGGTTCTATAACATTTTGTACAATTATTTAAACAAAACATTATAAATTTTAGACCTCTCATTTCAGCCATTATACCAGAAAAGTTTTGTTTTAATAACACGTTAGATAACAGAAAATCAAAGTCAACAAAAATTCTTGAATTATAAACTATCAATAAACAGTTTTCATAAATATGAAGTTTAGCTTAATACATTAAACCAACCTGAGTAATTTTTGTCTTTACTTTATTATCTCATTTTTGTGATGTATTAGCTTGGGCTAATTTAGTCTGTTAGTGATTATAATCATGCCCATAGAAGCCAAATATTATGACTATTGGGAATGACATTCCAAACTGATAGTTTAATAATAATTAAAGTGCAAAGAGCTTCCTAAAATTTGGATGCAAAAAGTGCCTTTACACAAAAAGTGGTCGAGAATATATGCATAAACCTAATGGATATATAGCGTTAAAAAGTTATTGTTCTATTCTTCTTTGACTTCAGATCCAGATATAAATATTTTCATTATATAAATGAAAGACAAAAATGTCTTGTGTCTTCAAAATGAATCCTAATAATGAAATATTTTAGCTACCAAGTTTTACTTTTATTTAAAAATAAATAAATTATTTTCCTTTTAAAATGTGGCTAGGCACAAACAGGTTATTTTGTAGTTTTTTCTATTTAAACTTTGGCATTGTAATCTATAGGTTCGGGGTATTTTTAAATATAACAGAATTGTCTTAAATAATTGCACAGCTCCTTAGATGTTAAATTTGAAATATTTTATTTATAAATCAAACATTTACAAACTATTTAAACTTTATGCATATTTGATCAAAACTTTTCAGTTTAAAAGCAAAGAATATTACATTGAAGCAATTAATATTTTAATTGTTACTTTTTAGAATTAAATTTTTTAACTAAATTTAAAGGTCTTATTAATAATTCTAATTATATAACTTAATACTTTATGTACAGAATTATGTTCATGTAGTTTTCCTAAGAAAGATTCTTTTTTGAAGAGAGAAGGAGAGTGATTATTAAACCATATACTTTAAATAAAGATATTACTAGTTGTATCTGACCATAAAAGTGAAAAACGTTAAAAAACAATGTATTATTAAATCGAAAATCATGTGGTATTGAAATATGATTCAACACTGCGGAGAAAATTATGATGCCAAAAAAAGAGCAATACTGTTTAAATTATGAGTAACCTATGCTCCCACTCTACCCCATTCTTCGCCAACAATGGCTACAGTATGTAGTATTGAATCAGTAATCCAGATGCATATAGAGATCAGTGGTTAAAATATAAATGTTATTTCCACTCAGAAAAATTTTCCTGATGACCATACAAGTTGACACCTACACACATACCAATAATGTACACTATTTATAGTAACCTTGCCAATTATACAAAGCTATTAAAAATACTGTATTAAAATATTGCTACCCATTTTTAAATTTAGAATTTACTGCAATAGAAGAATATTTTAAGTATTTTCAAAGATTTGATTTCAGCTTTTCTTATTCATTGTAAATTTTTGTGAATAAAAAAATGTGTTATTGTCAATTTTTATAGTTATAATGTAATTATGATACTCTTTATTTTAACTATTAAAATAATTTATAAAATTAGTTATTTAATTCTTACTCAAATTACAGTTATGCTTGCTATTGAAAAATCTCAAACATTAGAAGGACATGCCAGTGATGTTGTTAGTTGTGATTTTTATAAGGATTACTTAGCTACTGGATCCGGTGATAAAACTGTAAAAGTCTGGTTTCGAGAATCAAAAGTTACTTTTAAAGAAGCAGAATTTTCTCCTCTTCTTAAGCATACATATGGAGTAAACTGTGTTCGGTTTTCCCCAGTTGGCTTTCTCTTAGCTTCAAGCTCAACTGATGGTAAAACTATACTATGGAGTGTTCAGGTAAGAAATATTTTATATTCTAATGATACTTCTTGTGTTGCTGGATAAAATAAAAATATTTTTTGTTTTATCGACAACTTGCATCATGGGGAAATAAGGTATATTAAATAAATATTTATTTTAGAGAAAACAGTATCCTAAACCTTTTCAAAATTTGAATTTGTACTATATTAAATAGTACCATGTAATTGTAAATAATAACAAATCATTATCGTTTTCAGAAATTCAAAATTTAATAGTGATTTCAATAACTAATACAGAGTTGTTTAACACAAATCTGTATTAGTTGTTGAAATCACTATTAAATCAGACAGATCAGAATGATCACCAAACTTAAATTGTGTTTTCTATTAACAAGTGGTGCAGTCAAGGAGAGTTGGGGGTTAAAATACCATCAAAAAATTTATTCAGTTGTTGACTGATCATAAAAGAGGTTTGATTTTTTTTTCAGAAACTTTTTAATTTTAATAAGATATCCAGTAAAATAACATTAGGTAATATAAAAATAAATACAATGGATATATAAAAAAAATTCCTTTTCCATCCTGTTGTACCTATTAAAAAAAAGATAATAATAAATTAGAAATGCCACATTGTTGATGTATCAAACAGGTTGTTGTATGTCTTGTTAGGATCTGCATGTTGATGATTCAAAAAGTGCACACTTTTTCCTGTTATTCAAAAATGTAAAAAAATTTTGTAAGAGAAATGGGAATGTGTGAAGCCAGATTAGAAAGTGCAAAGCCAGTTGAATCAGACCAGATGGATTAAAATCAAAATTCAGCAAGAGATTTTACATTTATTATAACCCCTTCTTGGTGGAACAAGTAAGGGAGTTTTTAAGCAAAATTATTCCAATATACTATAATCAGAAGCACAAATGCTTCTTAGTTCAGTTAACAAATGTGTTTTTTTTTTGTCAAATTTGTTTGTCTCAAATTTGTTTAACTTTGATATTCTTGATCACTTATATCCACAATCTGTAGATCTTGATTTAATTATTGACGTGGAATCTGTCACAAATGTTAGAATTTCCTTACAAAAATGTGAAAAGTTCTATCTTGATCAAAGTTAAAGAAAATTTGCAGTAAATTTAGGATTGAAGTAAGCCTTGAACAGACTATTTGTAGCTAATGAGGAATAATACACAAAATTTCTGCCAACACTGTGGATTCTCATATGAGACTCAGATTTAATTATATTCTTTCTTCTGTCGTTTTTTCTTCTTCTTCTTTTTTTTTTTTTCTTTTGAAAACCACCTCCCATGTCCGAATTAATTTTGTCATATACTATAACATTAATTTGCACTAGTTATTAGAATTTTTCGATATCGACATACTGATGCATGCTGCTAAATTAGTTAATAAGAAAATATAGACCATCTAAACTAGCATTATAGTAAATAATTCTGCTTTGTTCTATATGCTCTCTTATATATTCTTTGCTTTATAATTTTTTCTGTTCATAAAAATTTCTTAAATTAGAAAAATTAAAAATTTCTTAATCAACTCATGGAACGTTAGACATTTAATTTTTTTTATTGTAAATGTACTGTAATCTTGTCTAGCAAGCAGATTTTGCCCTATATTTAACAAAATCCATATTTTGTGAGTGCATTAAGATGTAAGTTTTTTTAACACGGGCTTAAGCCTGAAAGAAGTAAAATTAAATAATATTCTGAAGACCATATATACTGAAAGCTCATTAGTTTAATTGATCACAATATTTGTTTGATACAGGCTTATAAATTTAAATACGATTTCCTTCACTTTAAGGATGGATCTTATCTTGGGGAGATGCAACATCCTAGTGGATCTCCCATTCGCATTTGCTCATTTTCTCCTAATTCTTCAATTCTAGCCACTGGAGGAGATGATGAAAAAGTAATTTTGTGGGATATAACTACCAAAAGTATTATAAGGTAAGATAATATTAAAACAAATTTTTAAAAATTTTAAGTTTGATGTTTTATAGCTAATTAATCCAGCTTATTTGATTAAGAAGAGACTAAAGCTAAGAAAGCAGATGGAAATTTTGAAATTTATGAAAGGAAATTGAAAATGGGCTTTATTTTTGAAATAAAATTATCTTTCTTTAAAATAAATCTACATCTCAATCTAAAAAAGATTTCATGTAGCACACACTAGTTGGATTAAATAGCTGTTCTTAATTAGAAATGTTTTCAATCCATTGAAAATATTTTCAGTTTTTAATCTAGTAGTTTTCTTTTATTCTAAATTGACAAAGTGAACAATGATTAATTATATTTATAAAAAATGCTATTCCACAGATCTTCGAAATATCAGCTGTTAAAATACAGTCTAACTTAGATCATTATGAAAAAGTAATACCATTATTTAAAGGAACTAAGTTTTAAAAATATTTGTAATATAAGTATCAACTAACTTATTATAATAAGAAGAAGGTTAAAGATTTATTCTTATATAATTGTTCAAAAGTTTTTAGATGAGTGAATTTTTGATGAATAAGGCAAAATATTGTGAATAAAAAAATAAAGTCACAAAAATGGGCATAAAACAATGTTTAAAATATATACTTTCCTCATTTAGATTTTGATTTTCAATGTTAAGGAACTCTTGAATTGCATTATAAAATAAATTAATGGTAAAATGAGAGATTTATTTAATATGTTATAATCAAAAAACAGTAAGAAAAAATTACTTTATTGAGGCATGGTTTAATAGTGAATGAAAATATTTTATATTTCATTTTAAACTAATTAATTAAAAGGAAAAATCAAAAATAAAATATAAATATATAGTGATACTCAGGCTGTTTTTCTTACTTAGGCTAATGTTTATGTGTATGTACTATCAAAACTTCAGTTTGCCATTATTACATAACTGCCTAATCATAATGTGTAATCATTATTTTAAATTTCCCAATTAAGTTTTGTTTCACAACTATCTTTTTAAAAAAAATTTCTGTTGCAATTTACTATATATTTTTACAATATATAGTAAATATTATATATATTTAGCAAATACTTTATTATTTACTCTTTACAATACTATGTTAAAAATATATAACTAAAAGTGAAAAATTACATTCTATGTTTCATTTTAATTTAGCATTAATGAAAATAACCAAATAGTAGTAAAATAATCCTCCTATATTAAATGTTTAAACTCATTAATTATATCTTTTAATACCAATTTTATGTAAAACAGCTTATAATGTAAAATGTTATTAATTTGACACAATTAATTTATTCATGCATACCTAAAAGAAGATTTAAATAAATTGTAAAATGCTTATATTAAAAAGATTTTAATAAGACAACAATCTATTTCTTTACAGACTGATTTAATGAATCCACAGTACTTCTTCTTTTGTCTTCTTTTTTTGTAATAATAAACATTTTAGTAATGAAAGGAAATTTACAATGACAGATTAAGTTTTCATATTAAATTTACATTTAAACATTGAAGCTAAACTTACAATACAAAAGTTGAGATAAGAATTGTGAAGAATCCTAAAGAATATGAGGAAGAAAACATGATTCAAGGAGGAAATTATTGTTAGACTATTGTGTAACTTTTATCAATGTTATTGTAAGGCAATTGTGTTACAAGTTCTGTTTGTTAAATACCCAATCGATTCTGTCTAAGGTGTATTTTAAGTAATAACTATTCAATTTTAGAAACAAATATTCATTACTGATTAATTTATAGAATAAATTTTTGCTTAGATAGTGATAGACAAAGATTCGACTATTCCACCAAAAATTTAGCTTTGGCCGAGTACTTCTATATTTTCAGCTTTTGCATTCACCAAAAACAGATTTAGAATTGAACTAGATGCTACTCTAGACTTAAAAATTTAATTGTCTGACATAGATACTAATTTTTAGACTATTAGGCACTATTACTGATGATAAGATGATATTTCAGTCTTCTCATTAAATATTTTTGAAACATTTAGTAGTTCTTCCTTGGTAAACATGCTCACAATTGCTATTAAACTTTATTTAGAATTGAACTAGATGCTGCTCTAGACTTAAAAATTCAATTGTCTGACATAGATACTAATTTTTAGACTATTAGGCACTATTAATGATGATAAGATGATATTTCAGTCTTCTCATTAAATATTTTTGAAACATTTAGTAGTTCTTCCTTGGTAAACATGCTCACAATTGCTATTAAACTTTATTTAGAATTGAACTAGATGCTGCTCTAGACTTAAAAATTCAATTGTCTGACATAGATACTAATTTTTAGACTATTAGGCACTATTAATGATGATAAGATGATATTTCAGTCTTCTCATTAAATATTTTTGAAACATTTAGTAGTTCTTCCTTGGTAAACATGCTCACAAAGAAGTAA